TAAGTATAATATTTTTCAATTATTATGTATATCTATATGTATATTTAAGACCCCTTTTTATTATTAAAAAGTAATCTTTAGTTGATTATGTCAAAGTTGAGTGATAGTAAGATAATCATATAATTAATTAAAAAAAATATAATCATATTACCTTAATGAATAACTCAATGTACGTAGATTCATTATTTCTAATTTATCACATTATAATGTCCATAAAAGAATTACTCATATTTATCAATATCATAACAAATATTTTTTAATATACAACATATAGGATTTTAATATTGGTTTTTGGGGAAAATAAGGAAGAAAAACAAAATATAAAAAAGAACTCTTTTTAGTTACAAGAAAAAAACCCTAAAACCGCTATATTTTAACTCTATTGTCATCATTGTTTGGCTTCTATTATCATTGTCGTCGCTGCTTGGGTTATGTTATCATTGTCTTCGTTGTATTTCCTTTGGCTTCATCAGATCAAGCATTCAAATGGGTAAGATTTATTTCTCACTTTTTTCTTTCTATTCATTCTGTTAAATTAGGGGAAAAGTAATAGATTTTGAAAAAGAGGTTTTTTGTGTGTGGCAGTAGTTACTTTGTGGGTTCAATGTCATTGTTGCCAATTTTTACATGTGAAGGTTCCTGCTTGATATGTTCTTTATTGGAAGAATTTGGGGCCTTGATTACATGGCCATTGATTCATCGTTCCCCTGTTTTGAATGAGGATGTTGTCAATATGACTAAATTGTGTTACCATTCAGTCTCTATTTCAGCATTGGTCTTCTTCATTGGTGAATCGATTAGGTACCTTGAATTCTAGTGCATGTTGTAATTCTTTGCTTCCCTTCAGCATTTGAATTAAAGAGAAAATATAAATAATAAATAACAAAATAATAATTAAATTATAAATTATATATATGTATGATACTATTGTTTCAAGCATGTTAATATACTTAGTTTTTAATTTATAAAAAGGATAATAGATTATGTTACTTAAGGATTTTATATAGTAATTGATTACATTGTTATTAGTATGTATCACCATTACCTTACCAGATTAGGAATTCAATCTAATTTTGAGCCACAAATTCGTGGTCAATTTTGGCGCAGGAAATTTTTCAGATTTTAATGGTAATTGTTCAACTCCTAATTCAATTGTATTAGTTCAATTGTATTAGACTCACTATAATTTGAGTTGTACTCGTTATCTAGATAGATTATTTGATTTGTTATCTGATCTAATATAATCAAGAAAAATAGAGTTGACCATTGTTAACTGTTAACTATAGTTAATTATTAATTGTTAACCATCTGTTAACTATTGTTAACTATTAATCATTAATCGTCAATGACCGTTGATTGCTTTTGATTTTTTATCATCATTGACCGTTAACTATCGATGACTGTTTAGGTGTTACAGTTCATCCAAAAGTCAAATATATTTTCTTTTTTTACTACTTTTTTCTTGGTTTTGATTTGTGTTTGTGTTTTTCTATGTGAGATAATGTTTTTTGTTTCCAATTAACTTTTTTTTGAAAGGATTTTAGAATGGTGGCCAACGATAATGATTACCAAGAAGAGCAACGATCATGAGGTAGTGGCAAAATCGTGGATTAGATTTAGGGATTGGTTTTGGGTATTTAAGTAGAAATTATCAAAATGTAATTATTACATAATTTTGGGTATTTATTGTAATTTATAAAAGTACGGGTTATTATTGTGTAAGTTGTAAAAAGTATATATCATTATTGTAATTTATAAGAAGTTTTGATTTTTATTATGATTTATAAAAATGTTTGTTCTTTGTTGTAATTTGCAAAAAGTTTTGTCCTTTATTTTAATTTACAATAAGGTTTATTTTATTGTAATTTACAAAAAGAATTTTCATTTATTATAATTTACAAAAAGGTTTATCCTTTAATTTAGTTTTTAAAAAGTAGCGACGATAATATTTTCATCATTTATACAATAAAATTATTATATTATTGGTGACGTTTACAAATAATTAGTGATGAAATTTTATATTATTTGATGACATAATTAATTGTCATTGAATACAAACTATAATGTGACAATATTCATTAACGTCACTATATGTCTAACAATATGTGACGAAAATACATAAATCATCACATTTGACATTTAGTGACACATCTAGGGTGACGTTTGCCGTGACATCAACTTTTACGTCACAAAATACAAATAGTGACATAAATGTCAGTTTCAATGACAATATTTTAGACGCCACAAATAAACAAATTTGTTGTAGTGAAAGACACCCAAGCCTCATTCAGATTTTAATAGACAAATATGTCTCCAGCTGACTCGGGCTCCCTTTGCGGACACATCAGCACATTTCCAGAAGAACCAAGAGCAAAGTTGCTCGATTCTTTTAATCACCACAAGAGGCAACATGACATCCCTGCACCAATAACTTGAAATGCTAAAAAGCACACTGCGCACCAGTTGTAACCTACCAGCAAAACTCATATTCCTGTTGACCCATAGGTTCAACTTGGCCCTTATCTTTTCAATGAGGCATTGACAATCCTTCTCAGTCAGCTTCTTGGTCACTAAAGGGATTCCCAAATATCTCACAGGTAATTTCCCTATTTTGAATCCAGTGATTTCTCTAAAGTCATCACACATAGTGGTAGACATCCCAGCTATATATAATTAACACTTGCTGGCATTCAGTTTTAACCCCGAAAGAGAATAAAATAAGTCCAAAACAGATTGAACACCAAGAATGGATTCAATAGATCCCTTGCAGAAAATTAATAAATCGTCAGCAAAACAAAGATGAGTTAGACCAATTTTCCTGCATTTGGGGTGGAAACCAAAGATCCCTTTTTGAGCTGCCACATTTAACAAATTAGACAAAACGTTCATGACAAGGACAAAAAGGTAAGGAGATAGGGGATCTCCTTGTCTTACTCCCCTAGCACCCTTGAATAGCCAACTAAGCAACCATTGAGCACAATAGAATAGGCAGGCTTAGTAAAGCAAGCATAAATCCAACCAACAAATTTATCAGGCAAGCCTAGAGCACACAACACTATAGCAATAAAATCCCAGCTCAAGGAGTCAAATGCCTTTTGTAGGTCAATTTTCATGGCACATCTGGGGGAAATATTCTTTCTATTGTAGCCTCGAACAAGCTCCTGAGCAAGTAACGTATTATCAACGATGATTCTTCCTCGGATAAAAGTAGTTTGGTTTTTCAAAATCATGCTGGGAAAAACAGCAGAAAGGCGTCTAACTAAAATCCTTGTGATTGTCTTATAGATCACAGTGCAATAAGAAATTGGCCTATAGTCTTTTACCATATTAGGGTTTGGGACTTTTGGCACTAGGATAATAGTTGTACTGTTAAAAGCAGGTAAAATGAAAGAGTTTTCAAAACAGTATCGAATGGAGGATTTGAAATCATCGGAGATAACATACCAAGCTGATTTGAAGAAGAAAGGATTATATCTATCAGACCCAGGAGATTTCTCATTCCCTTGGCCCCAAACTGCATCCCTTATCTCTATGTCAGACACTCCCCTGTATAAGTCATCAGCAGCTCCCATAGGAAGAGTGTACTTAAGTAAATCTTTAATGGTTTCAACATTACTGCATATGACGTTCATGTCAGTAACCCCTAGCTGCATTTGAAAAAAACCAATCACTTCATTTGACAAATCTTTAAATGTGTCCAATCTAAGCCCAGCCTGATTGTAAAGCACCCTAATTGTGTTTGATTTCCTTTTGCTTGTTACCATAGAATGAAAAAAGTGAGTCACCTGGTCTCCCTCATTAATCCAATCTGCTTTGGCTTTCTGCTTATAAAAGAGCAGCTCAGCTTCTTCAAGGGCCTGCAGCTCCTTGCCAATTTCTAGTTCAGAGGTAATGTTACTGCCAGAATGAGCAGAATTTAGGTTAGCAAGCTGGATGTTCATCAACTCCTCTCTCTTCAGCTTTACACGATTTGATATATCGTTGAAACACTCTCAGTTTAGCTCTTTGAGGCAGCACTTAAGCCTTTTAAGTTTGTGGAAGAGAATTTGAGCAGGATTGCCCACAGCTGGAGCCTGCCATGATTTCTCCACAATAGAAAGGAATTCAGAATGCTTCGCCCAAAAATTAAAAAATTTAAACGGCTTAGGCATTGAAGTAGGAGCCTCCTTATGGAACCAAATCAGAGTTGGACAGTGATCTGAGGAATCCCCGGGAGCTTGGAATTTCACCTCAGATTCAGAGAATACTTCAAGCCAACTCGAGTTAATAAGCACATGGTCCAGTTTATGTGCCATGAAGTTATCTTGTTGTTTATTTGACCACGTGAAAAACGGACCAGAGTAGGGGTGGTCAAACACTCCCAAATCACCCACACAATTCTGAAAATCAGAAATATCTGCACTGGTTGCCGCACTTACAGTAGTCGAGCTTTCCTCAGTGTTTAATATGGCATTAAAGTCTCCTCCGATTAGCCAAGGTAATTTCCCAACCGTACATCCCACGGAGTTCAATTGATTCCAAAGTTACCTCTGAGGACACCCTTCATTAGATCCATAAACTACAGAAATAATAAACTCTTTCCCCCTAAAAGTACCCTTTAGAGAGATGCTTTGATCATACACAGAAAGAACAGTGCATTTTAAACTACCGTGACAAAGAATCTAGATACGACCATTAGTTGAGTGATTGCAGTTACAACATAAAACCCAGTCGCTGAAATTATACTGCACAAAATGCTTATTCGACAGTTACCAGCCCATTTCAACACTTTCTTTTGCTTTAGAGGGCTGTTGAAACCTCTAATGTTCCAAAAGCATACTAACATGGAAAAGTGGATGAGGAATAAGCACCACCCCTTTCCTCTGCTTTCTTTACTTTTTCAACATGCTCTTTATTTTTTAGCTTCAGACCTTAGATAATCTTAGTCACTCCAAGTGAAGCAACTCGTTGTTTCTTGCCTGTGTCGTCAGCAACTAGCAAGCTCTCAGGGTCTATAGAGTTCAGGACTTCAAATTGTTTTTTGAACCTCCCATAACACATTTGCTACCACCTTTTGTTGGTCTTCCTCTCCCTCTTTTAATGGGAGGATTACTTCCATTTTCAGTGCTTTGAGTATCCACATGATTAACTCCCAAAGCAGCATCTTTCCCAGCATTAAGTCTATCATTATCCTTGTAATCCTTCCCACTATATCTGGTAAGCTTAAAGCAGTCTATTCAGAACTTATGTCAACATTGCATTGAGAATTAGCAACATCAATTTTCCCCTCCAGATTACCACTTTGATCAGTAGGGTTAATATCTATTTTTCCCTCCAGATGACCAATTTGCTCAGTAAGATTTGTATCAACTTTAACTCATGTTGCAACTGCATCATTATTAATTCCAGCAGCAGATTGTTTCATCTCTTTATTAGGCCCCTTTACTCTCCAGACCTGTTCTACTTTCTTCCCCTGAGGACAAAATCTCACAGAGTGGACAAATTTACCACACACATCACATGAAGCTGGTTTTCAAGGTACAATAACCTTGACTCTAGCAATATGTAACACCCCCAACCCATATCCTACCCGAATACGAGTCTGAGGTGTCACATTGACTTTTCAAACTTTGACTCTTGACAATATTTAAAGAAAATTTAAAACTTTCATTAAAATAAAGCGGTTTATTTATATGAATTGACCCAAAATAATCAAAATCGATCAGAGCATATTCAAATCAATCAATTAGTACATGCCAACTATATTCACATTAACCAAATACATTTAAATCGTCTATTTTCTGATCTAAAATTTTGTAAGGGAGATACTGACCTGTCTTGCTCTTCTTCGCTTCTCTTCTCGCTTCTTTAACATACGTGTGAAACAATCACACGATAAGTCTATGACTTAGTGAGTCATAATTAAATTTATTATAACATACCATATCTAATTGCTATTATGCATACTTCATGTAGACTTCATAAACTATGTAATGCATTATGTATCAAACATAACTACAAACATATGCATATCAATTCTTTATTTTTATTATAATTCTTATCCTTATCATTGATTTCTTAATCATATTACCTTTTACTCACCATGCATACACATCATATATAACTATACCAATTAACAATCGTATCGTCATGAGATTGCTGTAACACACTTAACATTACTAAACATATATATCACATATAGTGTATTTGTTATTATCTCTTGATTAGCCTATGTACACTGTGAGAACTATAGATATGCGAGTCTATTGAGGTTGTGCACTAATGTTGTCACCAAAGCTCGTATAAATGCATCGAAGTGTCACGTAGAATTGCACCGTAGTGCCGCGTAGAAATGCACCAAAGTGCCATATAAGTTTATCCCTAAGGAGCACGTAGAAAATTCCTTAAGAACCATATACATATACCAATGATCAAGTATGTGTCTCAAAAGACCTCACACGTATTCCAAAGAATACATATATGTCCCGAAGGACCGCGTAGACCCTCGACTCTTGGTATGCCAACTATACCTCTAGCTCTCATGTCACACAACATGGGCATTAATATTTATGTTATCATACATTCACATATACATATATTCTCATAGTTCTTTCACATAGATCATTGTCATATAAATCACATATCACATATACATATAAACACATGGTTCACTTACGCGTAGAACATATTCATATGATTCACATATCACAAAGCTTATCACATATAATTGTATTCTTTTTCATATAATCACATAGTCATATCACATAGATACGTATTCAATACTCATAATCGCATATCTTATCTTTTGTTCTAATAAGTTCATATTTATCATTTAACACATCGATTCTTATTGCATACTTTATATCATATTCTTATACCACTAATTCATAATATAGTTTAGGTCAATATCGCTTAACTTATTTTGCTCTTTCACTTATTCATATAATTTCATTATCCCAATTTCTAAAATTTATTACAACCTCATGTACTCCTTTTCTTATAATTGACACATTAATGTCATATAATTTTTATTTCTGATTTCTATAACATCCTCACATGATTTTAAGTACTTTGATACTATACTTCATATCATATAAAAACCTAATAGTTTTAGATCATAGTTTCATTTAACATATCGACCTTCATATATTACTTATCTGACATATTCATATACTCATATTACATAATAATTTCATCTGACTATATCTTATGTTCATTTCGTGCTTAAATCATATAATATCTAATTTACCCATATATATATATATATATATATATATATATATATATATATATATATATATATATATATATATATATAGTTTGCGTTACATATTCAAATAATCTTATTTGAGTCTTATAGGTAATTGCTACTTATTTTATGTTATTTACCCTTTTTACCAATTTACATGATTTATAACACTAACCTTTACAATAACATATGACTTATATCACTTATCTCACAATATTTACATACTAGATTATTCTATTTATTTGATTCAGTTCCATATACCTCCTATAATCCTTCTCATAGGGATTCTATAGTTCTTCAGTTTATAATTCATATATCATAGTTTCTATAGTGCTTATCCTATAGGTTCGTTTCACCATTATATAGTCATGCACACATACAAATCATGTAATACATATAATCATAAATAACACATATACTCATCTTACACTCATGATCATGCTCATGATTTCATGCATACTACCATAGAAAATAGACTCATCGTGAGTCTTGTTTCCATTCATCACACTTCACTAAAATGCACTCACCTTAGCCTTGTTTACTTTGAATCAATCCTAATCCTTCGATTGTTTCGGAACAAGCTTTCCTTCTATATCTACATAGTAATACATTGATACTTATCAGTATACTAATTAACTATCACTTCTTAGGCTAAAAGAAAGGCTAATTTCATCTCTTAATGAAGGTATGTATCGATGCACTACACCATGTATCAATGCATCCCTTGACGGGTGCATCGATGCACTATCTATGCATCGGTGCATAAATTTCATTCGATTTTTGTATTTAAGGGGGTGCATCGATGCACTACTTGTGCATCGATACATTGATGGCATTCGATGTTTTTATTTTAAAGGAGTGCATCGATACACTTCATGTGCATCGATACACCTTAAACAATTTCTGGGATTTACTCATGATGCATCGGTACACAATGAATGTGTATCGATGCACTCTGCCCAGAATTCACTTCTTGAACCCGAAAACTTATCCATTTTGGCTTAAATCCTTCATCTTTCATCCCCTTTTATATTCTTAACTCCAGTACACATACTTAAACCAATATATACTCATTTATTTCATCTTAAACCTCAAAATCCTATCTTCCTCATAAAATTCAAGAATTATACCAACTTTGCAACATGATTAAATTCCACTTTTAACACTTTGTTTATCTTAACTAGATTGATGACAAGTCAAATTTAACTTCCAATTCTAGATATGAACTTTATTCCAAGATTTCATTCAAAAACTCACAATCTTTAATCTCTTCTAATTCCATCATCTTTTGATTTTAAGATAACTTAAGCTTAGTTATCATCTAATAATCATAAATCAATCTTAAATTTAACAAGAAACTAACTAACCAGAAACTCACATTTGTTTTGGGTTCCCACGCATTAAGGAAGAAGAAGAGAAAGAGAACTCTGGAAGCTTATAGATTTCTCTTCCCTTCCACGTAGTTAATATATAACCTTTCTTTAATTTAATTATTTCCCTTACAAAAGACCCCTTTTGCCCTTCACTTAATCTAATAATTACTCACCTCTTTCAGGTAATATTCCAAATGAATCATTGAACTATTCCATTCTTCTACTTTAGTCACCAAGTTCTGAAATTTTACAATTTAGTCACTAACCCATAGATTGGGATGTTACACAATAGATCCATCACATAACAGTACATCAGCAGATTCTGGAACTTTTGAATCCGCAGAGATTTCAACACATACTTGAGCAAATTCAAGCCTTTCTCTTGATGCAGTTATTGAGTCCGTATGCAAGGGTTTACCAATTGCACTCGCAATGTAGCTAAGTCCCTTTCTCGAGAATAACTCCAATGTGATATTATACAACTGAATCCAAATCGGCATTTGAAGCAAGTCAAAATGCAATTCCCTCATGTTTGGTTCCCACTTCCTAAGGAATATAGGTCTATGTTGAACGTGCCAGGGACCATTCTCTAAAACCCAGTCCCTGGCAGAAGCATTGACAAAAGAAAACACAAAAAGATTCGAGCCAGCCAGACTTACTTTCACCGGAGCAATTTTACCCCACATCAGCTCGATTACCTTCTGCAGTGTCCCAAAATTCGGTGGAGATCCGATAAATTGTCCAACCAGTGCGTATCTCCACTTCAGGATCCCCTCCTCAAACATAAATTTCGGAGGCTTCACGATATAAGAACCCTCCTCCTCCGCCGGGGGAAAAAATCAAGTTCCTGCTCGCTCCCCGCCGCGAAGAGCTTCCTCCAGTCCGCTATAGCCTCAGCAGACATAGCCCAACAAAACCCCTCAAAACAATCGGGTCTCGGCATGAAAGAATCAAAGAATCAAAGGTTCGTCTTCACTCGCTGCTAGACCTCCTAACATGCAAGAGAGAGAAAACAGTTTTCCTCATACATTTAATAATTATTTTGTAATAATTTAATAAATTTAATGATCATAATTTTTAAATTTAATTATGAAATTGATTATTTAATTTTTTGATTAAGTTAAAAGTAATTATAAGTAGTATTTGTTCTAAGTACTCTCAATTATTTAACAATGAATGTTCAATCACTTTTGTAGTCGTTGATGCTCAAACCCGTGACCTCTAGAAACAACAACGATTTCTTTAACTACTGAGGTAAGTTGATTCGTGTAAATTGATTTTTTAATTATAGTTTAGTTAAATCAGATATAATTTATCTTAAATTAAATTAAAATGTCACATTAATCGTAATACTTATAACTTAAATTTGTTAATATAAATAGGGCAGACCACCATATAGGATTTGCACTATGTACCGATAAACACAAAGAAGGATAACACAAGGGGGGTGTTGTGTAATGGCCATTCATTTAAATTCCACAAACGCCAGAACATTAGTGGAGTTGAAAGAGTAAGAAACATGACTTTAATGGAATTGGAATGCCCAATTTCACAACCTTAATTTTATTTTTGATTCATGTGGTGGAGTGGAGTGCGCAATGGGTGTGAATCATAGGTGGGCATGTAAATGATATCAACGAACACGAATAAGAGCATGTTCATGTTCATTTGTTTAAATTTAACTGAATAAACGAATGAACACGAACAACTAAAAGAACATAAACGGACGAATTACCAAACGTAAACGAACAGATAACTGTTTGTTCAATAACATAAATGAACGAATGAGTCCTTTGTTCGTGTTTGTTTATTTAGTTAAGCGATAAAAAATCTTATTCATATTCATTTGTTTAATAAATAAACGAACTTTCCGCCGAATGATTCACTGAACGTTCTATTCGTTTACGGTCCGATTCATAGGCACTGAGGTCACCCCGCTAAGAAATATGGGGTGAAGGCGTAGAGTGATGGGCAATCTTAGGTAACACAATTGGTTTGATTAACGACGCATCCCATAACAACTTTGTGAATTAAGTCAAGAAAAGCAGTTGCCCCATTATATATCACTATCCCCATCAATGCGTATGCTTTCTCCCACTCCAAGTTGTTCACCCAAGTGATGCTTACTCACAACACCTTCCGCATTTGTTTAACCTAAGCTTTTCATTAATTTATATCTAATAATACACTACTAATGTTTTTTTAATATTTTTAAAAATAAACAATTTTAGTTGAATTTAATTTGATTGATATAAATACTATTACAACATCTGTAATATTTTCTTATAAAGTGGTGAATTCAATATATACATTTTCTCGATATGGTGTAGACTTTGAGTTAGATAACCTTCAAATTCTTTGATATATATATATATATATATTACTTTATATTACTATGTACAGGAGCCTATATTGGCTTCCTACAAATGTTTAGGCATCAATACTACTTATTTTTCCTAATTTAAAAATAATTTTTTTCAATCATTTCTAAAATAAAAATTTAAATCCAAAAGAAAGGCTTTAGAATTGATATTAATGTAGAATAAAAAAGAAAATATTAGGGAGAGTCTTGTTATTGGACCCTTTTTGTTGAGAATTTGTAAATAAAAAAGAAAATGAAATTAATGTAGAATAACACACGTACAAAAAATGTGATTTAATATAATTTAACATCATCAATCTTTACCAATAAGAATAATAATAATTCGTTATACATGTAGAGATAAAAAAACACAAATATAAAAAATTATCTCAAAATTTAGTATATATAAAAAATTTAGTGCATCTCAAAACATTCTTCTGACATATTACAACATTCATCTATTTTATAAACCCTTAATGTTAAAAAAATTATCTCTCCAAAATAATTATTTCTCATTATTCTAGATATTATTAAAATATGTGTTTATTAAGTAAACAAACTTACTCCCCGATAATTTTTATTACATAAATTTTTTTATTTAAGAAAACTTAATCACCCAAAAATATTCAACTAATTATAATAAAATTCAACTTAATTAACAATTAAAATCGATATATAACCTTTCATAACTAATATATCTATTTTGAAAATAGAAAAGGGACCATAGGGAAAAGGGTAATGCAAAATATGACTATAGTCTGATACAAGGTATAATAGTGCAATATCATGAGCCTAAATGACTGCTACTTTTCCTATAGAGATTTTGTAACACATAATACGACGGTTTTACAATATTAGAATTCTTATTACTTTGGACATAAATGTTAATGGAAAAAAAGAAGATCAAGATGATGTTGGGATCCACTGATCTCCTTGAATGAAATTCTCCAGAGAGTAAGTGTATACATGCTGTGCTGCAATTTGTGTACTCCATGGGACTCTTGAAGACACATTCGAACCCGGTCCCGAATTCTGAAATTCTCCATAGAAAAGTGTTTTCAATGCAAAGTCAGCACTCCATGGCATCCATCCATCCGGAGAAATAAGAGGTCCCATTACACAGTTTATGTAAACTGTCCTCGAATACTCCTTCCATGGCCTTCCCAAATAGTTCTTGTGCACCTTAGGGTTGCTAAAGTAGTATTTCATGTATTCATCAGTGCCGTTGAGCGCACAGTTTTGGAAAATGAGACCAGTTGATTGAGCAGGATCTGTTCTTCCATGAGCTGTGATGGCATTGTTTTCTCCTTTTCCGGGATTTAACTGCCGGGGAACGACCAAAATGTCACATTCTTGGAACACTGCAGCAGAGTTTCCGAAGATGAAATCGACGCTCCCCTGAATCCGGCATTTCTTGTAGAATTGGCGGAGCGAGTGAGTGTAGATAGTATCTTGATTTCCTAGGAATTCACAGTTCTCGATGACGGAAAGATCACTATCGGATCGAAAGGCTACTGCTTGGTGCGCATCAGGGCCTGCCGTGTTAGCGAATGTAAGGCCTCTGGCCATAAATCCATCCCCAAGAACTCCTGCAACAGGACAATGAAGCATGTTTGGACTATGATAGATTGATAACAAACAGCTAAAACTGTAAAAAAAAAAATTCAGAACAGATGTTCATTTTTCAACATGCATTTCTTCTGCCTAAACAAAAAAGGGTACCTTTTTACTCAAAATGAACTTATGGTAGACAAAAGCATGGAAGTGTAGATGCAAAAGTTTCAATAAAGCCATAAACAGAATAGAAACAGAACCACAAGATGCATGAATTCAACAAATCTTGTCTTGTTAGTTTAAAAGGCGAAAAATTTATTCAAACAACAAAAACCTAACAATTCCAAAATGAAGTCCATAAAATGGACCTAACCATGTGGTTGGTTCGCTTAAAAGGTCAAGGTGAAAGCAATCTTAATCACCCTTGATCTCAAACGAAATCAACTAAAGCTACCCACTCCTAATTTTTAGAAAAGTAATATCAGTTTACAGATGAACTAACTAATCAACCAAACCTAATGGAAGAAAATCATGCACAACTGCATGTGTATTGTTCTTTTTTCTCCCTTTCTTGGAAGGATGCATGTGTATTACTACTTTTATCGTTAAATCATTTGGGATTAAGTTGACTTGTAGAACTTATTAGACGACCTCAATAATAAAAAAATATTCATTTTATAAATCTCGATTTTAAATAATTATATCTACCTAATATATAAAAATATTAATTATTAAAAACTATAAATAAATAATATCTTATTTTTAAAAGTAGGTTTGACTAGTAAAATTGTAGAGAATTTTTCACGTACAAATGAAGTGTTCAGACTGTTTTCCCACTGGCATAACGAATTTTGACTGGTGTTTCACGATATCTTTCAAAGTCTACGTTGAATTTTATACGTTTATTTAGAATTTCTCCGAGTAAAACGATAATAGTATGCTAATCGGAAATATTAAAAAATTTATTATTTTCAGTTGAGCGATAGAAATATTAAAAAGTTAATATTTTAGATTATATTCGATTAAAAATATTAAAATTAATTTTAACATTTATAATTTTATATTTCCTTAATTAACTGTTTACCATTAGACTCAAAGTTAAAATTCCGAGGAAACTCACCGACTGTGGCAGAATTGTAGGTGGTCATTCCGGGCTGCCCCACATTCAGAGAACCTGTAATAACGGTTTTACCCATCCCCTCCCCCAAAAACACCACGTTCTTCTTCGACAAAGGAACCCTCACCGTGTAATTTTAACATTTATAATTTTATATTTCCTTAATTAACTGTTTACCATTAGACTCAAAGTTAAAATTCCGAGGAAACTCACCGACTGTGGCAGAATTGTAGGTGGTCATTCCGGGCTGCCCCACATTCAGAGAACCTGTAATAACGGTTTTACCCATCCCCTCCCCCAAAAACACCACGTTCTTCTTCGACAAAGGAACCCTCACCGTTTCCTCGTACACCCCTTCCTTTATCAGTATCACGAACCGGCGCGTCGGCTCCCCATTATCCGGCGCAGAGTTCACCGCCTCCTGCACCGTCTTGTAACATCCCCCGCTCCCGTCCTTACACACCGTCACGTCCGGCTTCAGACCCACCGGCACTCCGCCGCTTGAAACCACCGCCTTTCCTCCCGACCCTTTCTCGTAGAACCCGTCCCGTTCCGTTTTGGGTGGGGTCCATGACTTCATGTCGTCCCCGTAATTATCGTAAGCGACCATCATGCTCAACGCGTTGCTGGTGTGATGCGTTAAAGAGTCCAGGAATGCCATCGTTTCGTTCACCAACTGGGTGTCGTTGGCGTACTTGAGCCCGCTCCAGCAGTCGTACTGGTAGCAAAGCGCCGCGCTCATCCATGCACGT